GGTCTTCTATGTATAGAATACACCTTCTTAATAGGTTTTTCCTAGCTTTTGAGCTTTGTGATGTGACTGCGTAATTTCGAGGACGAAATCCTCTTAAGAGGAGGTGAATGTAAAACCCCGATAATTTATAAATAATATAATTAATGTGTGATAAATTATGATATGTGGATATTTAGTATGATAAATATCATTTAATGGTATATGAGTATAATACCATGTGTTTTGAGTATGAACGAGTTCATACATGTGAGAGAAAAGAGTCAAAACATGCACAAATAGCCAAACATATGCGGAGCTGGCATCCAGGAGTGCCACCGCTACCGCCGGTTCTTTGAGAACACTCAGGAGGAGAAGAAGCGGAAGAAGAGGGTAGCAGGTCGCCGAAATCGGGGGAGGTGAAAAAATAATTTTTCAAAAAATTTCCTTTGATTTTGAGAAAAATAGGAGTTAGGGATTATTTTGGGGGCGTAATGACGAAGAAATTGGGAAGCAGGAGTAGAATTATAAACCTAAAAGAACAATAATTTGGATCCTGATTGAATAAAAGGAGCAGGGAAAAGTAAAAGCTTTTAATTTGTAACTTAGTTTACTTCTAATGTAAAGATGAATGTAGCTGTGGAATTTCAATTGTAGCCTTAGGAAGCTCGTATAGAGTTTAAAATTCATTTGTGCTGCTTATTGACCCGCCCATGCTGAAACCAAGCGAATTGTTGGAGTGCATATGAAATTTATATCATCAATTTGGTTTTCCATGATCTTTAATCTTGTAATAATGGCAAAACTGCTGTGTCATTTGCTGTTTTTTCTCAGACGTTTGATTAGTTATCATCAATCAGATACCAATGCAGAGGTGAAAGAGCATTTGCTTTTGGAGCCAAAACCTCCGCCTAACTGTTTGCTTAAAGTCAATGGAAACTTGCATCATGAATTTTACAGTTCTGATGCTAGAAATTGTAGACGCAATGGCACGATAAGTAACCGTAACCATTCAATTCTTTTGTAGGCGGTATGCGCCGAGATCCAATACTTCATCCGCTGATACTGATGCTGCTAAAAAGTCCAAGGAGGAGGATGACGATAATTGGGATCTTCTGGAGGGTGATGCTGATACTGATGCTGCTAAAAAGTCCAAGGAGGAGGATGACGATAATTGGGATCTTCTGGAGGGTGATCTTCCTTTCTAAAGTTTTATAAGGACTGATGCCCATTTTTTTTTCCAGCAGATCACCCATATGTTGGGCAGAGCCAGAGGATAGTCTATTGATTGGTTCGGAGTTAGTTAGACAGACCACAAAGAAGGTGGCATTGATTCGAGAGCGCATTCTTGCAGCGCAGAGTCGACAGAAGAGCTATGCAGATTAGCGGAGATGACCTTTGGAGTTCCATGTCGGAGACTTAGTTATGTTGAAAGTATCACCGATGAAGAGCGTTCAGCGTTTCGGTAGACGGGGAAGGTTGCCCCGAGATATGTTGATCCTTTCAGGATCATCAAGCGCATTGGAACTGTTTCTTACAGGTTAGACCTGCCGGCATCGATGTCGAGTGTACATGATATCTTTCATATTTCGATGCTTAAGAAGCATCTGCGAGATGATGAACAGTAGAGAGTGATTGACTCACCAGAGATTGAGATTCAGGATGACTTGACTACTGTAGAGATTCTGGTATGCATACTTGTTAGAGAGAATAAAAAGCTTAGAAATAAAGTCATTCCATTAGTGAAGGCGCAGTAGAACCGGCAAGGAGCGAAAGAGATTTCTTGGGAGCGCGAGGAGGATGTTCGTCGCGACTATCCGCACCTGTTTGGACAGGTATTATGTATATGCTTTGATAGTAGTCATTATCTATGTTGTTTAGTCACATTTATATTTACCTCTAACACTAGAATGGGGATATTATCACCTGATCCTTAATCATTTGAAACATACGGTATATACATGAGGGTTTCCTTATTTGGATTATTTCGCTCGATGTACCATTTTCGCTTAGTTAGGGACTTAGGTGATAATGTTTGCATTCTAATTGGTTATATTTAAATATCATTGTGCTAATGCTATGAGATGAGTACAAAAGGTCTTCTATGTATAGAATACACCTTCTTAATATGTTTTTCCTAGCTTTTGAGCTTTGTGATGTGACTGCGGAATTTCGAGGACGAAATCCTCTTAAGATGAGGTGAATGTAAAACCCCGATAATTTATAAATAATATAATTAATGTGTGATAAATTATGATATGTGGATATTTAGTATGATAAATATCATTTAATGGTATATGAGTATAATACCATGTGTTTTGAGTATGAACGAGTTCATACATGAGAGAGAAAAGAGTTGAAACATGCACAAATGACCAAACATATGGAAACTGGAAATGTCCGGTCCGGTCGACCGCC